TGAATGAAGGAGAGAGTGAGGGGAGATGAAATCAGAGAGGCGGGCAGGGACGAAGGTGAGTGTGAGAGGACCAGGTGAGTGCTAGGAAGCATAGCAGTTGACCAGCAATAAATGACGGCGGCTTGGCCCAGCGAGGCGGTGTGGAGAGGTGAGGGAGTTTGATTCTGGATTTATTTTACAGAGCCTGCAAGACTTGCTGGTGTTCCCTGAACTGGGGAGAAGGAGGGGAAAACATCCCTTCCATTTTGGACCAGTTCATTTGGGAGGCCTAAAGACATCCAAGTGGGGCATCAAGTAGTAGCATGGTGCCCGACACTAGGGGTTCCTAACCCATCTGCTGCAAGTGAGGATGCTACTGGGAAAAGTGAGGGAGACAGGACAGCTGTTCAGCACAGTGTTCTTAAAAGGACATTGTTCAGGATGCATCAGCAGCTCTGTCGCCTGACACTGAGCCTGCCAGCTCTGGCAGTCACCCTGCTCAGGTGGACGCCCACTTTCCCGCTCCAAGACCCTGCTGTATGGTGGTTCAGCAAGTGCTTCTACCCATGGCTTCTGCTGCGTGCGGTCTCTGCTCTACCAATGTGCTATCTGCGGACTTACTCGTTACGTCTTATGTCCTTCCACCCCGATGGGTGGCCACTCGCCACTCAGTGCTGATTTTCTCTGTTGGATGAAGTTCTCCTAGCTGACCTCCAGGAGAGACCACTGGACATGCCAAGGTGACACCAACGCCTGTCCAAGCAATTGTGGTCAAAGAGGCAGGTTCAGGAAGCACCTGGGGTCATGGTGGCCCTTGACTCGGGACGCCTCAGACAAGGCCCACAGGGAAGAGGTGCATCTGAGAGGGCCTTCCTGGGAACACTGCTCAGTCCAATTACAGAACAATCTAGGGGATGGACAGAATTGATTTGTTCCTCCATTCAACACATGCTCTGATCTGGGCCCTGTAACAGGCACACGGGTAACACAGCAATAGAAGCAGTCTGTGACCTTGTGCACTGACAACATACGGTGCAAACATCATTACAAGTAACTTTCAGTGTCCTAAACAGCAAGAAGGTAAGGGTGTTTGGGGGACTCCGATAGCCTGGGGAGTCAGGGAGAGGTTTCTTGAGGAAGTGAGATTTCCGCGAATCCTTGAAGGATGAGCAGGAGTGACCCAAGTAAAGATTGAGGGCTTGGGACAGAGGGGACAGCCTGTGCTAGGGTCCAGAGGCGAGAGAGAAGCTGCAAGTGAGGAAGGGCAGAATGCAGCAGGACCTGCGTGGGGAACGAGAGCTAGACCGGCGCCAGGTGACCCCAGGGAGGGTTTGCACCTTATTCTAAGGAGTGACGGGGAACTCTGAAGGCCCTTGCGAAAGCCAGGGCGTGCATTTGAGAGGAAGCACTCTGGCTGCTGGTGGAGGATGACTGAAGGACATCAGTGGATGCAGGAAGACCAAGACAAATCCTAATCTCACACGTTACGCCTTTAACTAGCGTAACCACCTACTGAGCACCCACGAGGGGGCAAGCATGGGGGGTGGTCAGCATTTACTCTCACTAGTCCTTAGAGTTAGTCAAGGCAGAGATAGTTACCCCTATTATTGAAATAGGTGGAGAGGTTTAAATGATTTAGCCAGGGCCATCCGTGGGCCATGATGGGATTGGAACCATGGTGACCAATGTGTGTGCCAGTGACTTGCTAGTTTTAGCATGGAAAACCCTTGTCCCAGGAAACTTTCCAGTCCCGGGCAGACTGAGACATCTGGTCACCCTAATATAATTCATGCCTCTTTTCAATATATCCAGGCCGGCCTGTACCCCTCCCACAGAAACCCTTACTGTCTCTCGTCCACCCCTGGGGCCGGACGTGAGCCAGCCTTCTAGAAACGTCTCCCCGGAGCTGGGAAGGGGGAGAATAGTGATGCTGGGATATTGCAAGGCAAGTTTCCGGATAGAGGAGCCATTTGTCATCACCTCATTGGGAGGGTGCCTGGTTCCTAAATATTGCCTGCGATTTTGCTAAATGTATCTTAACAGGAGTGGTGTAAATGCTGTCAGAGATAGAGGGGGAGAGTGATGGCCCCATTCCGGATAATGAACTGCTTAGTTAAGATGAATCCGTTTCCACTCCTGATCTTCTTCTCGATACCATGCTTGCCAGGGGGGTGGAGGGGAGGAGGCTGATTGGTGGCAAATTTAATGCTGAGAAAGACGGAGCTCTATCTTTAGTTGGTGGCTGATTAATTGGTGGGTTCACTTCTTGGAAAAATGATGTTAAGTTGTACAAGGCACACAGGGGCCAGGATTCAGGCTCAGTTAACATCTGAAGGCCATGAAAAAGCAGTTCTCCCCTCGTTTTACAGATGAGGAAAACTGAGGTCCAGAGAGTGGGGCAACCTGCCTGAGGGGCCAGAGCTGGTTGGCAGCATAGCTGAGACAGGACTCATGTTTCTCGTACTCTTCCTGCGGTACCACTGCTTCCTGGCTGGTGGATGAGCCGGTCTCTCCCCACCCCTGTCTGCTCAGTTGCCCCTTCCCACGGGCCTTGGGGGCTTGATTTGGGGGTCCCAGCAGCAGGAGTCCTTCTTAGATCTCTTCTCTTTGCTATTCTGTCCTCTGCCTTGTGGGGAGGATTTTGCGTGGGTCTCCTGGCTCTGATCCAAGTCCAGATTGCGTCTGGCTGAGCTGGTCATCTCTGAATCTCCTTCTCCCTGGCCAGCTTCCAGGTGTCAGACTCCACTCTTCTCACCTCCAACCTGGACAGTGAGAAGTGGGAGGGAGTAAGGATCTGGGGGATGCAGAAGCATGGCGCTGCCTCGCCCTGCTCAGGGGCACCACCCTGTGAACAGGACTTACAGTAAACAAGCCCCAGGAATGTGCTTCCCCACGTTGGACCCCGTGATTGTTCCAGTGTCCACGTTACACATGGGGAAACTGAGTCTTATGGAGGCCATATAACTTGCCTGGGTCATGACTGAGTGGTGGGGCAAGAAACTTGAACCAGATAACTGACTTCAGATTTGTTGGAGGCATGTGGGTGGGAGAAGCAAGGAAAGTGAGGGAGGGTCTTTTCAGAGAAAGAGCCAGGGCAGAGTCTTCAGAAGCTGATGGAATTTTGTGAAATAGAAACTAGAGGAATGTTATTCGGACCTAGAGGAGAACTTTCCCTATGTTTTTCTTTTGCAAAAAACTCCTTGACCATGAACCCTTGCTGTTCCCTCTCCAGTGTGCGTCTATGTCTGGGAAGGTGATTTCTCACCTGTGATCCAGGGGCTGATTGGGGCTGATGCAGTCCTCGCCTGGTACATCTGTCAGAAAACTACCTTGTGGTCTGCGTTCAAGTCCCTCCCTCCCCCAGGCCAGTGATCCCACCTCCAGACCCCAGGCTTAGAGCTCAAGCATTGCCTGAGGCTTGTCCTCGCCTTGGATAGGAAAGGCCGAGGGAGCCTGAAGTTCATTGTGAGGCTTTCAAGCTCGGAGGGAGTGGGGTCTCCCCTCTGCCCACCATCCCTCGCTTGGGCCTGACCCCACGCCAGGTGGTCACCATCTACCCCATCTGAGAGCCAGGCTTCTGATGAAGTCAATGCATCAGCCCATCGGGGCAACCCCCAGAATCCTCACATGACCTCAGCAAGCCACATGATTCTGCTCCGGGCGGTGGCAAAGGTGGTGGAAAGACTGGCTTCAGAATCAGACAGATTTGGGTTCAAATCCTGGCTTCGCTGCTTCCATGGCAGTCGCACTGAGCCCGGTCCTTCACCTCTTTGAACTATGACTCTTCCTTCGTGACAGAGAAATATTCACACCGAGACTGCCTGCACAGAAGAAAGCTCAAAAAGCGGCCCTTGTATTCTTATTTTAATACTCTATTGATATTAATGAAATTCGCGTCCAGAAGGAGAGGCAGATGTGCAAACAGACAATCACACTCCAGTGTGACATCCGCGGTAATTGCAGCATCTTACAGGGACGGCAGGCACAGGCTGCTGCAAGAGCCAGTGGGAAATGGACAGGAAAGTTCTGGGAAGACCGGGACGTGCCACGGGGAGCCCAGCCTCCCCCACCCTCTGTGGCTCCAAGTAAGGGGACCTCGGCAATGGGAGACACGGTCATTTCCACCTCAGCTGAGAAAGGTGTTTCCTAGTGTTTGTTCCAAAGGACTCTAGGAGGGCGGGAACCAGGACGAGACCAGTGGGACTTAAGGTCCTGCTGTGGGAGTGAGCACCTCCGTAAATCTGGTACCCTGTGCATCTCACTTGCCCCACCCTAGTCCCAGCCCTGGTTCTAGCCCTGCAAGGTGCTCAACCAAATACAGACTCCGGAGTGTGTGATGTTATGAAAAAACTGCCCACCACAGCCCAAGTTTGGAGAGTCACAAGCACACTCCAGCTTCAGGGCTTTTACATGTGCGGTGTCCTCTCCGTGGAATGTTCTCCCCCTAGGCACACACGTGGCTCACATGTTGCTCTGGCTGCCCAGTCCAGAGCAGCCCCTCCCCCACTGCTCTCTCTTGCTTTACCCTGATTTGCTTTTCTTTATTAATTACACTTATCACTCCTTGATATATTTCCCATCATTTGTTTATTTGATTATCATCTCCTCTGCAGGAACATCAGTTGTAAGGGGGCAGGACCGGCCTCTTCTGTATCCCTAGTGTCCGGGTACTGAATAGATTCTCAATAAGGTTTTTTTTCCTCTCTTTTTTTTTAATGAAAGAAGGCAAGACAGAAAGCAGGAAAGAGAGCAAAGTTCTTGAGATGTCTTGGAGGGAAGGACCATGTTTAATTTTGTTTAACCTAAAATTTCACACACTTAGAAATTGATGGTAGAAATCTTGTTGCCTGAAACATTTACTAGAAGCTCCCTATTCTCTATTCACGCCGAGAAATGCTGTCTGAAGGGATCAGAACCACCCCATGAAGGCACCCACCTTTTAATTCTCCTCTTCTGGTGTCCCAAGGACACCCTCTTCTCTCTGCAGTGGGCTTTCTCTGCCCTCGCCCTGGGCTGCCCCTATGAATGGTATGCCCCAGACACCTGCTACACCTGCTGGTGCTCCCAACACGATCGCCAGTTACCAGAGTCTCCAACATTCCCCTCAATCCCCGCCGGATTTACACCTGTGATTCCCTCAGGACTGGCCAAGAAATGGTGGCAGTGCAAGCTGGCATCCCGCCCTGGCCCGCCTCACGTGCACCATCTGCACCCTCCGTGGGCTGGCTGGGAGATTGATGCATCTGAGAATGTGTCCTTCCTGTCTCCTTCCGGTGGGAGGGGCTGCTCTCTGGTCTTGAGCACCTCAGCCATCTGGACTGATGATGCTCAACTCATAGCTGTAGCTCCAAAGGTGACACCTCCCACCCCCAGGAGAGGGCAACCCCACTGGAAAGATGATCCTGGGGCAGGGGGATCAGCCCAAGGCTGGGAATGTTCGCAGCTGGGATCAGGCCATCTTGTCTTGGCCCCTCAGCAACACACCCTGGTCCCCCCAGGGCTGGATGTGAAATGTTTGCTGGCCCTTCCTCACCTCTTCCATCACTAGGCTGAGTACAGCGTGGTAGTCACAATGGGACCAGAGGATCTGGATTTGAATCCCAGCTCTGCCACTTAAAACTGTGCGATCTTGGTAGGTTCCTTTGCCTCTCTTTTTCCCTGTGAAAAGTCGGAGTAATACTAGTTCCTCTCTCCTAGGATTGTCATGACAATTAAATGAGTGTGTATTAAGCATGTAGCACAGTGTCTGGCATAGAGTGTGTACCATGGAAATGTGAGCCATTCCTACTATTTCACGCTCAACTTGGCTTGCCCCAGAGTCCTCCCTCCCCCTGGGGTTCTTCCCCCTGCAGGCGGCCTCTGTGTTTGTCATGGTGTGGCACTGGCTGGGCTTGGGGACTTCCTGGACCATCCAGACTGGACCAAGTTTCCTCCCTCCCCTCCCATAGTCCCCCACCTCCGTCTACCATTACTTTTGCCCACGCGGTGTGATAGTGTGGATCTGTGCATTCCTGGAGAGCAGGGCAGTGCTCGAGCCATCCTGCTTCCGGGATCCTGCACAGGGCCCGCTCAGAGCAGGTGGGAGCAAGCTTCGGGGCTGAATAAATGAGGAGCGGAGGAGGCAGAAGATCGGTCCTTCCATCCAGTTAGCTTGGTCACTGCTCTCACCAGCCACGTGGGCTCTGAGGCTCCCTGCGAGCCTAACCTCCTGTTTAAGTTAGAGGCTGCCTGGGGGGTGAGCCCCAGGCTTACCCCCCTACCTTGGGCATTGGGACCTGGTGCCTTGGACCACCCAGGTTCAGTCTGACGCCAGCTTCCAAATCGACCCCAAGGTCGGTTCCTTTTTCTTTCTTTTTCTTTTTCTTTTTCTTTTTTTCCCCTAGAGTGTTGTAACCATTAAGTTCCAGGCAGGGGTCAGGCCCCTGGGCTCCATCCACTCAGGTTGCCTGCACAATTGAAATCCCCGAGCCCATTCTGGCTAGTTTTCTCATTAAGACAATCAGACTGGATTGATCCATTAGATCAATGGCTGGACATCAGCCGGCAGGAAGCCAATCAGATGAGCCTGGACGATCAACCCAAGAATAAGGTCCCTCGCCGAGCTGGAGTGGGCACCTTGCCCTGGGGACGAATCTCTCGGAAGCAGAGGGGAGGGTCAGGGACCTCAGCAGGCTGGACTTTGATGTGAAGGCATCAGTGTTCCCTAGGGTGTGTCCACCAGGGAAAGAGTCCCAGATCCTGGGAGCTGGGCAGGGATTCTGGGGGCAGCTGATGGGGGAGAAGCATCGTCTGTGTTTGCAGAGCTGTGAGATGCCTTCCCAGCCAGTCAGCCCGTTACCACCCCACAACCATCACCACGGCCACGGCCCGGGGGTTAGAACTGCCCCCTCCCTCTGGGCAGCAGGGTGTGTGTGATGGGAGATTTGGGGGTTCAGGAAGCAAACAGCAGTTTCCCAGGGCTATTGTCCCCTCTCATCAGGAGGAATTTTGTGAGGCTGGGAATGGAGAGGTATAGGCACCCAGCATACCACATCCCAATGTTCCAGGGACCCTGGCTGCATGGGATGCTGATAGGGTTTAAAAGCTGGCTAAGGACCTGTTTCACATAGGTTTGGAAACGCTGGGTTAAATGAATTTCAGCACGTTCCTTTCCTACAGAGCTTATATATTGAGGCTTTCTAAAAGAGTAGATGGAGGTGCAGAGTTTGACCACAGACCCGTGTCTCTGGGATATCTTGTAGAAGTACCTTGATGCACTTACTCCAGGTGCCAACAGGTCCTACTCTCATGGGACAATCCATACTACAGAATTTTCAGGATTGGATGGATCCATGGGAGCCAGGGAGGTTCTCAGAAAGGGCAGCATCAATGAGAAAAAAGAGGGTGATGAGCTCCCCTCAGGTCTACAGTCACCACTCGCGTAGACTTCAGTGCAAACAGCGCCCCCTACAGTTGTGCCAGCTCCTCCCCCTCCTCGCCAGTCAGCCCAGTCCTCCGGATCAGCTCATGCCTTCATTGCCTCTCTCCCCTTTCTTCCACAGGCTACTTGACCGTCAACATTGAGCCTCTCCCACCTGTGGTGGCTGGTGATGCCGTGACCTTGAAGTGTAACTTCAAGACAGATGGCCGCATGCGTGAGATCGTGTGGTACCGGGTAAGTCCTCGCCACTGCCCTCTCCATGCCCATGGCCAGGGATGAGGGTAGAGACCCTCACATGCTTGGCTATGTTCTCAGCCCTAACCCAGCCCTGAGCTGCCTTTGTGCTCTGCCAGGTCTCCATCCTCTACCAAAACCCTCCGCAAAGGCCCCTTTGCCCAGCTTTCTCTTCTGCCCGCAGGATCCATCTCATTCTGGCCTCTTCTGTGTCCCTAATGTGCCCTGATGCTCAGGAAACCCCATTAGTACCACGTGTGAGTTACTAAGCACCCTGCAGGCCCTGACTGCTGTGTAACAACGAAGGAATGTTGAAGGGCGGAATTTCGGGCATGTGGCTTCGGGTGATGTTTTTGGCAGGGGAGAGAGGAGAACAAGACAGCTTCCTGCCTTCTTAGAAATCAAATGATAGACATAGTCTACCTCCTAATTGGATCCCACATAGGACTAGTGCTGAGATCTGGCACCCCAACGTCTAAGGTCTGAGAAGGGATATTGTTAGAGATGAGCTGGTGTCCACCTGCCCAGGGCGCAGGTGTTGGCAACAGGAGAACCAGCTTCGGGTCTTGGGAACAAGTGTTGGCCTTTGTAGCCACTGACAGAAATATCTGTGTGTCTGGACCAGGCATCCCAGCCTGGTCTCCCTTTACCACAAGGGAGTCAGGGCTGGCTGGGCTCAGGAGGAGGTCCGGTTGACACTAACCTTCTTGCAGTGCCGCACTCAGGTTTGCACTCGTTTCCATCTTGGAAACGAGGTAGGTGGAGAACTCCCCTTCCACGATCTACAACAGGGGTTGGTGATTTTTTTTTTTTTTTTTTTGGTAAGGCTCGGATAGTAAATATTTTCCTCTCTGGGGACCATATGGTCTCTGTCGCAAGTACTCAGCTCTGTGTTGTCATGTGAAACAGCCAGGGGCAACATGTCAATGGAAGGGCATGGCAGGATTCCACAAAATTTTATTCATGGACCCTTGAATTTCATGTAATTTTCACATCTCAAAAAAATATTCTTTTCCTTTTTAAAAATATTTTTCTTCAACCATGGAGAAAGGTAAAAAGCCATGGTTCGTGGGTCATACTAAAACAGGCTGGCTATAGGCTGATTTGGTCCACCAACCAGAGTTTACTGGCCCCTGATCTAAAACCAACACTTCCCTAACCTTTGTAAGTTGGGTGGCCCTTTCTTCAGGTGAAACCAGTGGTGACACAGTCAAGTGGAACCGCTCTGGCTGGAACAGATGGAGCGTGGAAGGTGGGGGGCTGGGTGGGCACAGTTTGGTGATCAGGCATCTAGAACTAGTTCCTTCTCTCCTTCAAGCTACTGTCACACCCGTGGTGTCATGCAAGGAAGCCCCGTGTTAGGGGATCCTCCTGGGGCACACTCACCATTCAGCCTTGACTCAGACCTGGGCTCCTTGGCTCCTTGATCTTGGCCCAGTCTTGCTTTAAATCATCCTATCCTTGCTGTTCCTTCTTACATTCTTGGCTGTTGATTCATCTTTTGCTGGTCGCTGATATCTGGCTGGCCGTTGTTACCTGGGCTCCTTTTAACTGAAGTCATTGTTCTCCGTCTTAGCATTGTAACCCTCCCCGCTTAGAATCACCTCTCTGGTCCTCCACCCAAGCTCGCGGCAGCCTGGGATGCACAGGTGTGAAAATGACATTTGGCTTCCCGCAGGGCCTGAGCTTCAGATGAGGTTTCCATCCCGAATAGATCAACTGGCCTAGAGAAAGTCATGGCATATGTTAAATAGTGCCATGAACTGAATCACTAAGAGGCGTATTTACATGATACGGGAACTGCTTGGCTGACACATGCTGTGAGCATCTCATTAGCACCTGGCAGAAGGACTGGGATAAATTAACTCCAGCTCACTGCTGGATGGGACCACGCGGCTGGGATAGGAGTGAGGGGTAGTGAGAGACCTGCCCAACTGGCAGAGAGAAATACGGAGACCCAGTGGGAACAGATAATAGGAGTGAAGGTGGGAGGGAGCTTGGAGACAGGAAAATACCAATAGGCACCTGGTTGCCTTCGCATTCCTTGAAGTCACTAGCCTCACTCTTGTTTGAAATTGAATGTTCCTGCATCAGTGGTGAAGATCTCCCTGCAGGGGTAGCCGCCAGGGTGGGGGCAATGCCAGAGTCTGGCCCAGGTGTAGGAAACCAGGAGCAGACTTTCACATGGCTCACCTCTGTGTTCTCTGAAGGTGGGGGATAAGGCTGGGGCAGGAAGAAATGCCCAGCTTCAGGGCAGACACTTTCCTTCCCCTTTTCCACCCCAGTGCTGAGAACCCCTCTTCACCTCCCCACCCCTGCCATCTCCACCCTGGCCCATGATCACATTGATTGCTTTAAAAATCAGTTACGTCTCTTATGGGTGTCAGGTCCTGCATATTGGGCTATAGTAGGCTGCACTAATTAATTTATTTTATTTCATTTCACATCCTTTGACTGAGGGCGTCTGGTATGAGGGAGGGATGCAGATGTATGCAAATCATATGCAAATGAACCACTCCAGCCAAATGCTTGGGCCCTTTTGATTCTATGGCTGGACGGAGGTAGTGGGTTCAGCTGACTTGGTTCTCTCCCTGGGACTGGGGGAGCCCTGCGTGCCCTGTCTGTGATGGTGAGGAGGGGACCAAGGATGGGAGCAAATTCCAGGAAATGGCTCCATGCTGCCAGTCGTCTCTTTACCTGCTGACACTCTGACCTTTCCTCACCTACCCTCTCTTTCCCCAAGGAGCCAGCTGAATGGAGAGAGATAAGAGCTTACCAAGATAGGGGCTCCAGGAGCCAAGACCGGAGCAGGGCTTCTGGAGAGAGTGGGAGAAACACCAATGGAAGCCCCAGGCTCCTTCCTCAGCCAGACTCCCTGCTCCAGACAAACCCCGACAGCTTCATCCCCTGATCCGTGTCTCCCCCCTCACCCACTCCCCTAAACAGGGAGCTGCCGAGTGTTGTTTGTTTTCTGTACGTGTGTTTGCTTCCCTCCCCAGCTTCCTTTGCCCATCCTCCATGAATGAGCTTACAGAGCCAGGCTTGGAAGGAAATGAATAGATTATACAGGACCAGCCAGGGCTGTGTCTCCAGTCCCTTTAGAAGGGAAAAGCAGGGCATTGTGATGATGGGGCTGCCGCTGCCCGCTCAGCCCAGTGGGCACAAAATGGCCCAAAACATGTGTAGAGTCTAGCAGCCTCCCCTCTGGCCCTAAAGACATTATCTTAGCAATGGGGTCATCCTAAGTATTCAGAAGTGTAGCAAATGCATTGGATCCTTTGGGTAAACCGGGGGAGCTGATGGACTTGTGTGAAGCAAAAGGGATCACCCTTCTGGGGTTAACAAGAACTCCAGCCCAACATTTGGGAAGGTCTTGGCTTTTAGATCCCTTAGGGGTGAGGTAGGTGAACAGGGAAATAGGAGGAGGTGGCAAAGTCCTGCACCTTGGACACTTTGCCTTATGGTTGGGCCAAATGATAGGAAAAGATGACAAAACTCTAGAATGGATTCAAGGAACTGTACAGCCCTGGGTCTGTGCTGCCCAATATGGTAGCCACTAATCACATGTAGCTATTCAAGTTTAAATTAAATTAAATCACATTAAATTAGAAATTTATTTTCTTGTTCAGACCAGCTGCATTTTAAGAGCTCACTAACCACAAGTAATCAGTGGCTGCCATATTGGACAGAGCAGGAACGGAACATTTCCATCATCGCAGAAAGTTCTGTTGGACAGCCTGCTGTAGATAGCTGAACGTTTTTTCTGTGGCCTGTGGAATATACTGAACTTTCCTGACAAGGAGAATAGCAGTGACTGCTCATCGAGCCAGCTTTGTAGGCAGACTCACTGTAAAGTGAATTTCAGGAAAAATGAACTTTATTTGTTGTGTAATCATTGGTTTGTGAAGAATAAGGGTTGGAAGAAGGATCCGCATTCTCAAAAGACTTCTTTGAAAACAGAGAAAATGTTGTGAGCGTTTTCAGGCTCCTGAGGTACCGGTATCATAATTGTCTACCAAAGTCCTGCTCCGCTTAAGGATGCTTCACAGCCTTTTCATCATCTCCCCATGCTTTCTTCACTGTTGCATGAGCTCCCCTCCCAGATTTGTGTTTCCCATCCTTCTTTTTTCAGAGCTCAGCGCATTTCCTCTTTACCTAGAAAATACACAGCGGCTAATAGGGCAGAAGTGCAATTCCACACTTGGCCAGTAGGAGTCACTTGCCTAACAATCAAACTATCCTAGCATTAAAGTCGGGACCTGGCTCTAGAAAATGAAAGATAAGTATCTTCTACTTAATCATTTCTATCTATCTACATCTATATGTGGGGACTCAGTAATTCTGTTAATACTAATCTGAATGGCTAACATCATTGAAACTTTATTCCGGGCCCTGGATTGAGCGCTTTATGTACACAGCTGCATTTCATTTCCATGTTGGCACTGAAGTTGGTGCTACTGTTAAGCCTGTTTTTCTGATGAAGACACTGAGCCCAACCCCAAAGACTATGTCTCAGCTCATGTTGCCTTCCCTGACTTCTGCAGAAAGTTCTAGACACTTCCTCCAGGATTCCTCTTTTAGGATCTAGACTCCATCTCTTACCTCATTATGTCAAAATACCTATCTGTCCACTGGGCTGTGAGCATCTTAAGCACAAAGTTCGTGTCTTTTCCCATCGTATGCACAACACGTAGCAGAGAGTCACCTCAGTTAATATTTGTTAAGTGAACAAATGGTAGAGCTGGAAATATACATGCATATTGTGATAAACCACTCCGGGTAGCCCACTTCTATTTCAGGTGGACATCAGTGTACAGCTGACTATATCTGTCTGCTTGGGGATTGAGTGTGAGTCTGCATACTCAGGGGGCTTTGTGGAGTATGAGAAAAAGGGAACATTTCTTATTAGGGAACATGGTCTAAACTCATTTACCTGGAGGTCACCTGCCCAGCAGGCAAAGCCAAAGGTCTGTTTAGAACATGGAAATCCATTAAACAGC